TTTTTCCCACAGTCTATTTTTATTGTCACAATCAACATTATCATCTTTTTTTTATGACAGCAGAATGCATTACAATTCTTATTACACTTATAGAGCACATTTTTCATATCTCTGGCTGTATACAAAGTATATTCACACCAATTCGTGTCTTCATACATGTACTTTGGATAATAATGATCATCACATTCCACCATCATTAATAGCCCCATGTCTCCTCCTTTTCCCTTCCACCCCTCTGCCTAGAGTTCGTCTATTCCTCCCATGCTCCCCCTCCCTACCCCACGATGAATCAGCCTCCTTATATCAGAGAAAACATTCAGCATTTGGTTTTTTGGGATTGGGTAACTTCCCTTAGCATTATCTTCTCAAACTCCATCCATTTACCTGCAAATGCATGATTTAATTCTCTTTTGTTGCTGAGTAATATGCCATTGTGTATCCCTCTCCTGGGTCTATATCCAAAGGACTTAAAAACAGCATACTACAGGGACACGTCACATCAATGTTTGTACAGCACAATTCACAATAGCTAAACTGTGGAACCAACCTAGATGTCCTTCAATAGATGAATGGATAAAAAAAAAGTGGTATATATACACAAGTAGTTCTTTTTAAATGCTACAGTTCCCAGAACACACACACACAATGTTTGTTTGTTTGTTTGTTTTTTAAGTTGTTCTTTTGTACACTTTATTTTTTACAGTCCTGGGAATGGAACTCAGGACCTCAAGCATGCCAAGCACAGGCTTTTATGACTGAGTTCCCTTAGTCCTATGAATTTAACATTGCAAGAAATCAGTATAATTAATAAACTCTAGTGCTGGCCATGTAGCTTCTCTGCCCCACAACCAAGTATGCACACAGACACACAATGAACAAATTTTTTAAAATCCTCTCAACTTTACTTAGGCCAAAATAATGATAGTTTTATTCTATATCTGATGATCTGATTGAATTTATTCACTTCAAGAATTCAGTTAACATTTAGGGTTTTTATTACTCGGCCATAAAGAAGAATGAAACTATGGTATTTGTTGGTAAATGGATAGAACTGAAGACTGTCATGTTAAGTGAAATAAGCCAATTCCAAAAAACCAAAGTGGGGGCAGTTTCACTGGATTGGACAGGGCAGAGTGGAAGAAGGGAAGGGCTGTGTGGGGGGGTGCCACCATGCCTAGCAAACATTCTTATTGAGTGCTCACCCAGTCCAATGTTTGAACAACTCTTTTTTTCTTTTTCTCTTTGATTTATTTTTTGTGCTGCTGGGAACAAACGCAGGGCCTCACTCATGCTAGTCAAGTGATACCACTGAGCTACATTTTCAGCCCTGGATTTCACTTTGAATCTGTGTTGTTTGTTGTCAACATGGGTTTGAGGATAGATATTGTTTTGAACTCATATTCAGTGTTCAGAAAACAGAAAATAATTGTTATTTGTACTATAAACTAAAAAGTAGGAATACATATACAGTACTTTTGAGATGCATTTTTTGTAGGCAGGGCAGGTACTATGGATTGAATCCCAGGGGCACTCAACCATTGAACCCCATCCCCAGCCCTATTTTGTATTTTATTTAGAGACAGGGTCTCACTGAGTTGCTTAGTGCCTCACCATTGCTGGGGCTGGCTTTGAACTCACAATCTTTCTGTCTAGCCTCCCAAACCACTGGGATTACAGGTGTATGCCACTTCATCTGGACTTTTATTTTTCATTTCATTTTATATGAAATGAAACCAGGGATTGAACCTAGGGGCACTCAACGACTGAGCCACATCCCCAGCCCTTTTTTTGTTTTGAGACAAGACCTCCCTAGATTGTTTAGGACCTCATTAAGTTGCAGAGGCTGGCTTTGAACTCATAATTCTCCTGCCTCAGCTTCCCAAGCCTCTGGGAATTCAGGCGAACACCACCATACCTGGCTCAATTTTCTTTTGATTGATTGAGAGAAAGGGATAGATTGAAAATGACCCTATGTTTTTTGCTTTGTTTGGTACTGGAATTGAACCCACTGAGCCACATCCCCAGCCTTTTAATTTTTTTTTAAGTTGTTGAAGGACCTTTTATTTATTTATATGTGATGCTGAGAATAAAACTCAGTGCCTCATGCATGCTAGGCAAGTGCTCCACCAGAGTCCCAGCCCCAGTCCCCCAGCCCTTTTTAAATTTTTATTTAGAGACAGGGTCTCACTGAGTTGCTTATGGCCTCGCTAAATTGCTAAAGCTGGATCCTCCTATCTCAGCCTCCCAAGCTACTTAGATTTTAGGCATGCGTGATGCATTAACTTAGATATAGAATGGAAGAAAAGCAATCTATTAGGGGGTCAGTACACATGTAGGGAGGAGTTATACATTCATTCAACGTTTATTGAGCATCTGCTATGTGTTAGGTACTCTTCAAATGATGGATATATGATAGTGAACCAAAAAAAGGATCAAATATCTGTTCTCGCAGAGCTCACATTCTAGTAGTGAGTGAAACAAAACAATAAGCACAAGCAAGTAAGTATACACTATTTTGGCTGGGTACAATTGTATGTTTCTATAGTCCCAGCTACTTGGGAAGCAGAAAGATGGCTTGAGCCCTGGAGTTCTGGGCTAGATTGCTAAATTTATATTGGATCATAAGGGATTCTTCCAATTAGGGAAATAAATCAATGTTATGTAAGTGATGATATTTGAGTTGGCCTTGGTAGGAACTTTATGGGTGAAGATTTATGGAAAGGACTAACCCAGATCAAAAGAAGAATGTGAGCAAAAGCTGAAAAATGCATGCTACCTTCAGTAAATGTAGTCAGTAATTTATAATAGAGACAAGCAGGGTCCAACTGTGGCAGTCTTTGAATGCCACATTATTACCTGGACTTCATTCTGTATTCCATGGTATCTATGATTAGGAGTATACAGAGAATTGTGCTTTAAAAAAAAAATCTTTTTGAGCTGGTGCATTGGAGCCCACATGTAATACCAGTAACTGGAGAGGCTTAAAGACCCTGTCTCAAAAATGAAATGGATTGGGGATGGAGCTCACTGGCAAAGCTCCCCTGGGTTCAATCCCAGTACTGAAAAAAGGAAAAAATTACCTTTTTGGAACTGGGGGTGTAGCTCCATTGTGGAACATTAGTCTATTATGTGTTTGATCCATAGCACTGAAAAAAAGCACTTTTTGGGCTGAGCATGTAGCTCAGTGATAGAGCTTAGCAAGGCCTACCAAGTGTTAGCATACACAAGATCCTGGGTTACTAACAGAGAAAATTACAAGAGGGGTGGTGAGAAACAGGGTTGGGAGGAGAAGATGGCAAGTGCCATTTAGATATCCTTAGGACTTATACCAGTGAAGTCTCAGCCTTTCCATAGTCGTAACTGTTAAGTCTGGGATTAAAGTGTCTTTCCTCTACTCCTCTTTCTGACTCTCCTGAAAAAAAAAAAAGAGACCATAATTGAGTTTTGAACTTACATGACTTAAGTCCATTTCCCACAACTCTCAAGAAGAGGAAGTAATGGGCTGGGACTGTAGCTCAGTGGCAGAGCTGTGTGAGGGACTGGGTTTGATCCTTAGCACCAAATACAAATAAGCAAATAAAATTATTTTTAAAAAAGAGGAGCTGGGGTTGTGGATCAGTGGTAGAGCACTTGCATAACATGTGTGAGGTACTGGATTCGATTCTTAGTACCACATAAAAATAAATAAAAATAAATTTCATCCACAACACACACACACACACACACACACACTCTCTCTCTCTCTCTCTCTCTCTCTCTCTCTCTCTCTCTCTATATATATATATATATATATATATATATATATTGGGGGAGGGGAGGAAAGGAACCAGCTGCAATGTTCCTAAACAGCATATTCTTTTTATTTTTTAAAATATTTATTTATGTATGTATCTTTAGTTTTAGGTGGATACATTAGTTTGTTTTTATGTGGTGCGGAGGATCAAACCCAGCACCTCATGCATCCTATGCGAGCACTCCACCTCTAAGCCACCACTCCAGCCCCATAAATTCATTTTGTAAAAGAAGCAATATCTGCTATCAGACAAACAGTAACATAACATTTAAATATATAATGCCCTGAGTGGAGAAATTGAACTCGAGGTCCTATCCTGGCTCTATGCTACCAGGTTATTGAAGGAGAAACTTTTTAAGAAGATATTTTTAAAAGTTTACTTAATTATTTTTATGCGGTGCTGAGAATCGAACCCAGTGCCTCACACAGGCTAGGCAAGAGCGCTACCACTGAACCACAATCCTAGCCCTGAGAAAATTTTTTTACTCTTCACATTCTTGAGACAAGCTTGTTAATTACACCATAGTAACAAGACATGATGGCTTTTTCCTGTAAGCAATACCATGATTATGCATGGCATTTATGCAACATTCTTCATAAGAGCAAAGTTGTTGGACGAAAGTTTAAACCGGAGCCGGAGGCATGCGCACCTGTACTCCCCGTGACCTGGGAGGCTGAGGTAGGAAAATCGCAAGCTCCAGGCTAGCTCAGGAATTTAGCAAGGCCCCAGGCAATTTAGTGAGACCATTAATGCCCCCCGCCCTCCAACCACCACCACCACCACCACCACCACCACCACCACGAAATAAAAAGGACTGAGGCTGTAGCTCAATGGTTAAATGCCTTGGGTTCAATCCTCCGAACAACAATAGAAGCTTAAACCCATAGCTTCCAGAACTAGCGTTTTGTGACAGGGAATTGCTATATGGGGGCGCTACATATCCTGGCCTAGGGCTACGTGCAGAAGCCAAACTCCGTTTCCCGGCGACTTTTGGCGCGGTGAGAGGCCAGACGGGATGAGCTGTGCTTCTGCGTGGGACCAGCCTTCTTATTGGTGCGCAATCCAAAGGATCGTGTAAACTCGCGGGTGATTGGACGGATTCTTGAACGCTCAGTGGCTCCGTGGTGTTCCCTGATTTGACTTGTTTTTCAGTTGAGTTCTCACGCGCCGGCTTAGTGTGTGGTGAGTCTGGGGGTTTCGGGTTTAGGAGGAAGGGGGTTTAGATAGGAGGCTTTGAGAAGAAGACCCAGTGAGGAAGAAGTTAACTGTGGAAGCAGTGCGGAAGGGAGGAACAGGATCCTGGAACCTGAGGATACTTAGACGAGCTGGGGGCCGGAAACGCAAAGTTAGTATCTGCAAAGGAGAGACCCGGGGCTCGGCCGCCCTGGGGAGCTGCGGCAGCGAGGGTCAAGGACGGGATGAAGTGAAGAAAGGAATTTTGATTTGTACGTACCGGAGATGGGTTCCGGTATTCCCTCACCCCATGCTAGTCCAAATCTGTTTCCTCATTTGTAAAATAAGGAAAAGTAAAACTACCTAACAGAGTTGTGGTGGGAGTAAATAAAATAGTAAGTTTCGGGTTGGGGGGTGTAGTGTTAAGAGTGCGCGAGGCCCTGGTTGGATCCCCAGCACTGCAAATAATAAAAGATACATATACAAAAACTCCGGTGATTTTTTTTTTTAATTTTAGTTGTAGTTGAACACAATACCTTTATTTTACTTATTTTTATGTGGCGCTGAGGATCGAACCCAGCGCCTTGCACGTGCTAGGCAAACAGTCTACCGCTGAGCCACCCCAGTGTTTGTTTGGGTTTGTTTGTTTGTTTTTAAGAATTTCAAGTTAATTTATTTTTCAGTTAGAACATTCTGGATGGAGAAAGTCAGAAAAGAATGAGGGGATAGTATTTAAAATGAATTTTCCAGGATGATCTTAAGTTCGAGGCTACCCTCCACAACTTAGTAATAGTAAGACCCTAAGCAACTTAGTGAGACCGTGTCTCAAAAAATAAAAAGGGATGGAAATGGAGCATAGTGGTAGACTACACCTGGGTTCAATCCCCTTACCAAGTACAAAAAAAAAAAAAAAAAAGGTTCAGAGGACCTATACAGGGGTGGGTAGAACAGTTAAACTGTTGTAGTGGTCCTGGTAAGAATGTTTTGAGATTCTAATCAGGTGAAGTGGTGCAGGTGAAGTGGTGCACTTAGCAACTCAGGAGGCTGAGGCAGGAGGATCAAAAGGCCAGCCTGGGCAATTTAGTGAGACCCTGTCTCAAAATAAAAAGAGGGTTGGGGTTTTGGCTCAGTGGTAGGCACTTGTCTACCACATGTGAGGCACTAGGTTCAATCCTTAGCACCATATAAAAATAAATAAAGGTACTGTGTCCATCTACAACTAAAAAAAAGTATTAAAAAAATAAATAGCCAGGATTGGTGGCAAGTTCAAAGCCAGCCTCAGCAAAAGCAAGACGCTAAGCAACTCAATGAGACCCTGTCAGTAAATAAAATACAAAATAGGGCTGGGGATGTGGCAAAAAGCCCCTGGGTTCAGTACACAGCACTGGAATGTAAAAAAGAATATCTTGATGGTCTGACTTAGCATGGTCACTGTAAAGATAAAATATACAAAATTTTCTTTTTTATTTGTACACAGGGATTGAACCCAAGGGCACTTAACCACTGAGCCACATTCCCATCCCTTTTTTTTTTTTTGAGACAAGGTTTCACTAAGTTGTTTAGGGCCTGGCTAAATTTCTGAGGCTGGCTTTGAACTTGTGATCCTCCTGCCTCAGCCTCTCCAGTTGCCCAGAAAAATATACAAAATTTTCATATGGTTCTATGGGAGGTTCAAGATAAGTAGTGACTATGTGAAGTAGCATGAACCTACAGTCCCAGGTACTGACAGGTACTTAGGAGAATTGCTTGAGCCCAAGAGTTTGTGATTGGTTTAAGCAACGTAGCAAGACCCCTTCTCAAAAAGAAAGAAAGAAAGAAAAATAATCAAGTGATGAATTTAAATTGCCAAACCCAGGTTGTTTGGAAATGCTGAATTAGTAACTAATGGGAAAGTCAGAAGGGGCATGATTGGGTGGAAAAGGTTTGGGAAATATGAGCTGAGTGATTTCTGCTTTTAGTTCTTTTTTTAAGCTCTAATGGGAAATATAGGTGAAAATCTCCAGAACATAATTGAGAATTCAAATCAGGAGTTTGAAAGAGATGTCATTTATTCATATTCAACAGGTAGTTGTGAATTATTTGCCAAGTCAGATTTATATATTTATTTTTCAGTCTGGGGATTGAACACAGGGACATTCTAACTCTGAGCCACGTCCCCAGCCCTTGTTTAAAAATTTAAAAAAAAAAAAATTTTTTTAGGCTCTGCTGGGAATTACATCCAGGACCTTGTATATGTTAGACAAGTGCTCTACTACTGAGCTACACCCACAGCCCTTTATTAATTTTACTTTGAGACAGGGTCTCACTAAGATGTTGAGGCCTGCCTTGAACTTGCAATCTTCCTTGGCCTCCAGAGTAGCTGGGATTATAGATAATGTACCTGTGTCCTGGACCAAGTCAGATTTTAGATGATAGAGAAAAAAGCAGTAGAAATAATGATGTCCTTCAAGAAATGGATGGAGAAATGGTAAATTAAAAAAAAAAAAAAAACACTTAAAGACAGAATTATTTGAAGCAAGGGAGTAAAATTTTCAGTAATAGTAGGCTGCTTTGAGTTCTCATGTGTCAAACATGGTGCTCAACCCTTTTATTTGCTGTTTCATTTAATCCTTACCCTACCTGTGACATGCAGCTGAGGTTTAGAGATGATCACGTGCCTCCGATACATAACTAATAAGGGGCAAAGTTTTCCTCAAACCTAAGTCTGGGGTCTGGGTATATAGCTCTGTTGGTAGAGTGCTTGCTGCAAATGCACTAGGGCCCTGGATTCAATCACCAGCACCACAAAAAAAAAAAACAACAACAACAACAAAAAACTCTAAGTCTGATTTCAGGGCCCATCCTTGCAATAACAAAGCCATATTTTTAGAAAAGGTATTCAGCGCTTTCAAATAAACAACTTCTTAGCAAGACCCTGTATTCAAAATAAAAAGGGCTGGGGTGGCTCGGTGATTAAGTGCCCCTGGGTTCTCTAGTTCCAATAAATACATACATACATACAAAAGATATCTCCCATAATCCTACCATACCAATTCAATAACTTTTTATTTTCTGGATTTTTTGAGGGGTGGGGGTACCAGGGATTGAACACAGGGGCACTTGACACTGAGCCACATCCCCAGCCCTATCTTATATTTTATTTAGAGACAGGGTCTTACTGGGCTGCTTAGCGCCTCATTTTTCCTGAGGCTGGCTTTGAACTCGAGATCCTCTTGCCTCAGTCTGCCAAACCACTGGGATTACAGATATGCACCACCATGCCTGGTTTTCCTGGATTATTTTTTGACAGGAGGCAAATCAACCCAATTTGGAGAGGTTGGTGGAAAGAGATGTGTTTAAAGGAAATTAATTAATCATTTCTATTTATTTATTTATTTTTCATGGTACTAGAGATTGAATCCAAGGATGCTTTACCACTGAGCTATATTATAGCCCTTTTTTATTTTTTATTTTGAGATAGGGTCTCAGTAAATTGTTGAGGCTGGCTTTGAATTTGTAATCCTTCTGTCTCAGCCTCCCAAGCACCTGGGAATACAGGTGTGTACCACTGTGCCTGATGGGTTTTTGTTTTTTGACTTGTACTTTAAAGAATCCCTAGAACTACTGTGTTGAGAATATACTACAAGCCAGGCACAGTGGCATGTACCTGTAATCCCAGTAGTTTGGGAGACTGAGGTAGGAGGATCACAAGTTTGAAGACTGCCTCAACAATTTAGCAAAGCCCTAAGCAACTCAGTGAGACCCTGCCTCTAAATAAAAAATAAAAAGGGCTGGAAAAGTAGTTCACTGATACAGCACTTACCTAGTATGTGTGAGGGCCTTGGTTTGATCCCCAGTGTCACCAGAAAAAAGAAAGAAAACTTTTCTGCATCTCCCTTATGTAATTTCAGTGAGAGGATTGTAGGGTTTTTGTTTTTTTGTTTTTTGTTTTCCACTACTGCCAGTAACATTGATAGTAAGGGGACTTTGTGTTTTTGTTTCTTTTCCCCAGTTCTGGGGATTGAATCCAGGGGCACTCTACCTCTGAGCTACATCCTCGTCCCTTTTTATTTTGAGACAGGGTCTCCCTAAATTGCCCACACTAGCTTCGAGCTTGTCTTAGCCTCCTGAGTAGCGTGCATTATAGGTATGTGCCTCCATGCCTGGCGAGGAGACTTTTCTTGCTATCTCCCAAATATTCAATATCATTCTGATTTTATTTGAAAATAATAATAAGGAAGAGTACTTTATGATACTTCAAAATGCATGAAATTTTAGGAGTTGGAATTACTTTAAAGAATACTACATTTAAAAGCATCACATTCTCTTTAGGAGGCAAATATAATGTTGGAGAGAGGACCAACCTCCATATCCTATAGTATTCTTAATGTCTTCTAATCATGAATTTTTGTGTATTTCATAGGTGTGAATAAGACAGCATGAACTTTACCCCGACACACAGCCCTGTCTGCAGAAAGTAAGATATTTACTTATTTTTGAATTGTTAAAATAAGAATTCAAGACTTCCATAGCCTTAATCCAAGTTAGTATAGGACCTAGAAGGTTTTGGAAATGTACTTCCTAAATTTCAGTTTGAGCTATATTATAGATCTCATTTCACTATTTTGTTCAGAATTTAGATTTAAAAACCTTTTATCTGGTAATACCAGAACTCATTTAGTGTGAGAGAGCTAGGCACATTGCTAGTAGATCCTGAATGACAGGGAACAACCAGTATATAAACATGGAACTTCTAATTCTGGTTCTGCCACCAATTTGCTATATGCCACATCATCGTCATCTTGGTGCGATAGCTCCCATCTCAGGAGTACCTTTTAGTTCAATTAACCTATTTCCGGGAGTTGTTATTAGGCAACCACCTTTGAAGATATGAAACATTAAGTAAAATAGTATTTCTGTTTCAAGCCCCCCAACCCCTTTTGTGGTGTTACTGTGGATCTAACTCAAGGCCTTGTGCTTACCAAATATACGCTGTGTCTGCCATTGAGCTATAACTCCAGCCCCCCAAAACTTCAGTGGTTGAGAAGATATTAGGTATTTTATTCATGAAGTTGAGTGGTTTTTGTTTGTTTGTTTGTTTGTTTGTTAAGAAGGATTGAATCCAGGGACTCAGGTGCATGTCTTTACCACTAAGCTACACTTACACCCCCAGCCAAGAATAAATGTCAATGTCTATTGTATGTGCTTTCGTACTTAGATGTGAACATGTATATTAACGACATTTCATTAACTATATAATTGTAGGCTTCTGATATAAAGTTTATTCACTCTGATGTGCACTTTGTTGTAAATTACAGACAATCAAATTGGATTGATTTTCAAATGAGTGTTTTTCTTCTGTACCATTTGTTTTCTAACTTTCATTGTATAGCTTAAGTCTCTTGTTTGCTAAAAACAAATAAACAAAAACTTCTTGGACATTCATATTATCTAGTCTTAATCTGCACAATTCAAGTCTCAGATGCTAGTTTAGTTATTTTTTGTGAGTGGGTTTTTTTTTGGTTTGTTTTTTTTTTTTGGTTTTCGGTGCTGGTGATTGAACCCTAGGATGCTTAACCACAAAGCCACATCAGCCCTTTTTCTTTTTTATTTTGAAACAGTCTCACTAAGTTGCTTAGGGCCTTGCTAAGTTGCTGAGACTGGTCTCGAACTTGAGATCCTCCTGCCTCATCCTCCCAAGCTGTTGTGATTACAGGCAAGTACCACTACACCTGGCTCAGGCTCAGGCTAGAGTTTAGGATCTATGTGGTTGTTCCTGTTGCTGTATGTCTTAATGAATCTTTTGGTAGGCAGTGGTACTGGAATTGAATGCCAGGGTGCTCTACAACTGACCTACATCCCAGTCTCTTTTTATTTTTATTTGAGACAGGGGTCTCACTGAGTTGCTTAGGGCTTCGCCAAGTTGCTGAGGCTGACCTCAAATTTGTGATCCTCCTACCTCAGCCTCCTGAGTCTCTGAGATTACAGGGATGTACCATCGTGTCCAAATATCTTGATAAATTTCTAATTGTTACTAGGTGGTCTTTCTTTTTTTTTTTTTTTTTTTTTTGGTACCAAGGATTGAACTCAGGGCTGCTTAACCACTGAACCATATCCCCAGACCGCTTTATTCTTTATTTTTGAAACAGGCCCTTGTTAAGTTGCTCAGGGCCTCTATAAGTTGTTGAGGCTGGTTTTGAACTTGCAGTCCTCGTGCCTCAGCTTCCCAAGCCACTGGGATTATAGACATGCACCACTGCACCTGGTCATTAGGTGTTTTTATAATTTTATATTCCATTTTTAAGTGATTTTTTAATAAATATATATATTTAGTTGTAAATGGATCTTTTATTTTTTTATATGTGGTGCTGAGGATTGAACCCAGGGCCTCACACATGCCAGGAAAGCTCTGTACCACTGAGCCATAACCCCAGCCCTCTTTATAGTCTTTAACATCTTTTGAATTTAGCTTTAAACCATTGACACTTAGAAGACATTTATAAGTTTATTCACTAACCACTTTCAATATATATAAAAACCTTAATTGTAAGCACTTTTAGAACACAAGTCCCCTTTTCTTTAAACATTATAAGACTTTATAAATGTTTAGAGAATTTAACAAATACATCCTTTCTAATTTCATAGACCAACAATTGCCTCCAAATACAGTGTTGCTTCTGGCATCAATGGTCCCACCAGGAGGAGTAGAATGGCCGATTCAGTGGAGTCTACTCCCTTGCCTTCAATCAGAGATCGTCTGGCTGTCCTGTGCCCTTCTCAGGAGCTTCTGGAATATTATCAAAAGAAGATGGCTGACTGTGATGAAGAAAATGAGGACCTATTGAAGAAGCTAGAGTTCTACAAAGAAGCCTGTGAAGGACAGGTAAAAGAGAGAGATAATGTCTTCATGTGGTGGTGCAGACCTGTACCTAGTTACTTGGATGGCTGAGGTGGGAGGGTGGCTGGAGCCTTTACATTTGACTACTCTGACTACTCTTTAACTTTGTTGTTCATTCGATAGCTGCTGGTGCTCTTTTTTTTTTTTTTTTTTAAGTGCTTGGAGAACCTTGTGCCCTCCATAGTTTTCTTAACTTTTCAGTTTTCTAAGTGCTGCATATCAGCTTCTGACATGTCCTTCTCTTCTAACCTAAATCTTGTCATGCATTATTTCCATAGTAACTGTACCACCTACAATTGTGCGATTATTCTTTTGCTCCACCTGCATAGTGAAACCCAACTGCACCTTAATCCATTTCTCTGCAACCTATTCTCCTGGAGCAGGATTTCTCAACTTTGGCATTACTGACATCTGGCCTGGATATTTCTTTGTCCTGGGGGAGGCTGTTCTTTGTCCAGTAGGATATTTAGTGTGTTCCCTGGCCTCTATCCACTAGATATCAGTAGCATAATTTCCTTAGTTGTGACAATCAAGAATGTCTATAGCCACATGTGGTGGTACATGCCTGTGACCCCAGCAACTTGCAAGGATGAGGCCAGAGGATTGCAAGTTTGAGACCAGCCTGGGTAACTTAGCAAAAGCTGTCTCAAAATAAAAAATAAAAAAGGACAATTGGGCACATGGCCTGTAATCCCAGCAGCTTGGGAGACTAAGGCAGGAGGATTGTTGAATTCAAAGCCAGCCTCAGCAATTTAGTGAGGCCCTAAGCAACTTAGTGAGACCCTGTCTATAAATAAAATATTTAAAAGGGCTGGGAATGTGGCTCTGTGATTAAAGTGCCCCTGGGTTCAATCCTTAGTACCAAATAATAATAATAAAATTATTAAAAGGGTTAGGGATGTATCACAGTGGTAAAATGTTTGCCTAGCATGTGTGAGGCCCTGAGTTCAATCCCAAAGTTCTGTACGGAAAGGAAAAAAAGGATGTCTCCAGACATTGCCAAATATTTCTGGGGCAGGGGTTGGGCAGTGGAGGTGAAGGTATATGTGCAGAATCCCTCTTGATTGAGAACCATTGTTCTAGAAAGGTCACTCAGCATTACAGAATGAGTTGATGGTAAACGAATTCAGCTGTACCTCAATCATCATACAGAAGTTTCCTTACCCATCTCTCTCTTTCTCCTCTCCCTCACATCTGTGCCATACCTTTACTACTCTCCTGTAGCCTACAACTTGTCTTAGCCTTCTTCCCCCAACAGGTAATTTACTTTCTAGTTCCTGGAGGAATACTAATTTTCATACATGAACTACCTTCTTGCCCGTCTACATAGCTAAAGACATCTAATTCTGTCTTGCCTTTTCTGTTGTTGCAGTGCTGGGGATTAAGTTCAGGACCTCACATATGCTGGGCAACTGCTGTAACCACTGAACCATATCCCTAACCCCATGTCTTATTCTTCAGGAATAAGCATCTTTACCTATTCAAGTTTGCTTAACATGAACTTTTTCTCCTCAGTGTATAAACACACTCAAGTCTTTCCCAACCCAAAAGGGAAAAAAAAAAAGCCCTTCTTGACTTGTGCTTCCCCCTCTGGCTACTCTTTTTATCTAGATGGCTGTTTTTTCCCAACAACACTTAGAGTATTTTCACTTTTCCTCTCAGTGACTCCTTCGCTGCATCTTCATCTCTATCCTCATAAGTCCACTCAAATTTTTCTTTCTGTGTTCTCCAGCTAACTATTTGCCAAACTCTTCTCTTTTTGACTTTGCAATATTTGTCACTATTGACCTATCCTTTCCTAAAATTCCCTTCCTGTCTTGATTTCTGTCGTTTTTCCTTCTTGGTTGCTACCTAGCCTCTCTGATCAGGTTTTGTTTTGTTTTTTCAGTCTCTGTCAACAACTCCTCTTCCTTAGTCTTAAATGTCAAATTTCCTACTATATGTGATCCTATTTAATCCATGCATTATGCTACTATAGTGATGATACCCAGATTCAATTTTCTCCTGAGCCCAAGTAAAAATATCCATATCTGAACTGACTTTCCTTTTTGTATACTACCCATCCCCCATACATATATACCATATATTTCCCCTCTCTCCATACCTTATCCCTTAACTTTTTCTTTATTTTGATTCTTAGTAAATGGTTTCATTGCCTACAGTTCTGCTCATCCCCACTCCATCAAGTTCTGTGAATTCTGCTTCTAAAATATTACTTAATCCATTCCCATATCTCCATCACTATTGCCAGAGTGGTAGTTCAGACCCTCATAGTTCAATTGAGCTATATATTATAATATTTTTGCCAGTATCTCAGCCTCTCCAACCTGCACCATGCTTTTCACTCTAGCAGTGTGAAATACTATAGTTATCCAAACATGTGAGACTTTTTTGGTGTGTGTGGGAGGGGCACATAACTGTCACTTTTATCAAATACATATATATTTATAATGCTAGATTTTTTTTTTTTAATAGTCAGAATTGAGCCAAATGCCATAAGCAGGCCACAGTATGACTTAGGGTTGGGTGTGTGCTCCATGGGGGTGGTGAGCATTTTCTATTTCCTCCCTTGCATGGTTATATCTAGCATGCCCTGACAGATCAACCATGTCCTCAGTTTTGGAAGAGCTACAGGAAGTTACAGAAGAGATGACTATGTTGTGGGAAAAGGTTAGAGAAACATGATGCCCTAAGAGCTGGAACATATAAGACAGAATCAAGAATATGATGCAGTAGAAATCACAGAAAAAGCAAAATGTCTTTTTTTTTTTTTTTTGGCCATGTGTGGGGGGCGTTGAATCCAGGTGTCCTTTACCACTGATCTATATCCCAGGTCTTTGTATTTTTTATTTTGAAACAGGGTCTCACTAAGTTTCTTAGGGCCTCACTAAGTTGCTGAGGCTAGTCTTAGACTTGGGATCCTCTTGCCTCAGTCTCCTGAGTCACTACGATCACAGAAGTGTGTCAGTGCACCTAGCTAGCAGAATCCCTTGGCAAGGAAAAGTCAGCCATGGTTGCTTCCATTATAACAGGATGTATAGTGAAGATCAGTTACTTGTGAATGGGATCAGGCAAATATGTTCCTGAAAATCTACATTACCATAACTGAAGCAAATCTGCACTGAGAATGAGCTGATATATTTCACAGAGAGATCATTTGATCTTTTGCTAAACAGTCTAAATGGGATCTGCCTTGCCCGCCCGCCATCAAACGACCCGGCCTGGAGGCGAGAGGGGGCCCAGCCGCCCATCTGCCCGCCCATCTGCCCGCCCATCTGCCCGGTGACCCAACCCGGAGGAGGGGCCCAGCCGCCCGTCAGTCCAACCAGGAGGTAGGGCAGGCGTGGGGCGTGGGGGTGCAGACCGGAGGAGGCACAAAACGCAGAAGCTTGGCTTGCAGGACACCAGACCGAGCTCTGGACAAACATAAGGTCTCCCCAACACCCCCCACCTCATCAAACACGTGAGAAAAACAGATGGAACTCATCTTGGAAAATCCCACCAACCCTTAAAACCCATCAACTGGTGGGCGTGGCTACCAGCTCAGTTCTGCGACGGATCAGGCACCTGGTTTCCATCTCAGAGACTAAAACTAGAGAGGCTACAGGTGGAAGCTCAAATCCTCTCACACTGGCTACTTCCACCACCCTGAACGCAGAGACTCAAGCTAGGAATAGGCAACGCCACCTACTGGAAGAAAAAAAAATAAGAGTTATGAGAGACTTTTTAAATTTTTTTTTCTTTTCTCTTACTTTCTTTTTCCCTCTCTCTTTTTTCTCTTTCTTTCCTTGTTATTTTTTTCTTTCCTTCTTACTCCCTCTATGCCACTTTCAACCTCCTAAATTTTACTAACTATAAGTAGGTATCTAAATACAGATAGGAGTTTGAATCTATACATTCCTGTATAAATTACCCGTCTATTGGTTAGAGCTCTCCAAAGTTACTAAGTTAGATTAACCCCATACCCTCACTCTTTTCCCCCTAAACATAGCATCCTACACCTGAAATTCAGTTTTCTTCATGCTACCAGAAATGGTATGCCTTTTATAAAACTAATGACTATATTTTTTAAATGATTATTGAAGCCAACATCGGTAGACTTAGAGGCTATCTATAATTGTATTAATAATGAAAACTTGTGCTTAGATGATGTACTATTGATATTGGGAACTGTTAACATTGTCTTTCTCCATAAAAGAGAGACTTTGGAACTATACAAGAGCAATATAAATATATAGGGGGAAAATCAATAACACAACAGTTTCACAAAGCTGGAAAGAAACGTGAGCAGTATGAAAAGATAAGAAAAGAAAGGACCACAAACAATGCAGGTCAATTCAACATTAGAAGAGGTAATATCTGCAGCAGATGGAATGTCAGATAAAGAGTTCAGGATATACATGCTACAGATGATCTGGAGTCTCAAAGAAGACATTAGACATCAAAATCAGACAATGAAAGATCACTTTGACAATGAATTACATAAACAAATCCAAGAAGCAAAAGATAACTCTACAGGGAGATAGAGGGTATATTTAAAAAAAAAAAAAAAAAAAAAAACCAGAAATTCTGGAAATGAAGGAAACAATAAACCAAATTAAAAACTCAAATGAGAGTATTACCAGCAGAGTAGAACACTTAGAAGATAGAACATCAGACAATGGAGACAAAGTATTTCAACTTGAAAAGAACATAGACAGCTCAGCGAGACTGTTAAGAAACCATGAGCAGAACATCCAAGAAATATGGGATAACATAAAGAGACCAAACTTAAGAGTTATTGGGATACAGGAAGGTATAGAGGTCCAAACCAAAGGAATGAGCAATCTGTTCAATGAAATAATACTAGAAAACTTCCCAGACTTGAAGAATGAAACAGAATCCCAAATCCTAGAAGCCTACAGGACGCCGAATGTGCAAAATCACAAGAGATCCACACCAAGACACATTATAATGAAGATGCCTAACAGAGAGAATAAGGAGAGAATTTTAAAAGCTACAAGAGAAAGGAAGCAGATTATATTTAGGGGTAAACCAATCAGGTTAACGGCTGAGCTCTCAACACAGACTCTGAAAGCTAGAAGATCCTGGAACAATATATTTCAAATGCTGAAAGAAAATGGGTTCCAACCAAGAATCGTGTATCCAGCGAAATAAAGCTTCGGGATTGAAGATGAAATTAAAACCTTCCACGATAAACAAAAGTTAAAAGAATTTGCAGCTAGAAATCCAGCGCTTCAAAACATCCTTGGCAAAACATTACATGAAGAAGAAATGAAAAATAACAATGAAAACCAACAGTGGGAGGTAGTACAGTAAAGGAAAAACTAATCAAAGAGGAAAAACAAATGTTAAGTAACAAAGATAAACAAATATGGATGGAAGTACAAACCATATCTCAATAGTAACCCTAAATGTTAATGGCTTAAACTCACCAGTCAAGAGACATAGGCTAGTAGAATGGATTAAAAAAAAAAAAAAAAAAGATCCAACAATATGCTGCCTACAGGAGACTCATCTGATAGGAAAAGACATACATAGACTGAAGGTGAAGGGTTGGGGAAAATCATACCACTCACATGGGCCTTGGAAGCAAGCAGTAGTGTCCATACTCATATCAAATAAAATAGACTTTAAGCCAAAGTTAATCAAAAGGGATAAAGAAGGACACTACATACTGCTCAAGGGAACCATACACCAACAAGACATAACAATCATTAATATATATGCCCCAAACAATGGTGCAACTATGTTCATCAAACAAACTCTTCTCAAGTTCAAGAGTCAAATAGACCACAATACAATAATTATGGGTGACTTCAATACACCTCTCTCACCACTGGACAAATCTTCCAAACAAAAGTTGAATAAAGAAACTATAGAAATCAATAATACAATTAATAACTTAGACTTAATTGACATATGTAGAATATACCACCCAACATCAAGCGGTTACACTTTTTTCTCAGCAGCACATGGATCCTTCTCAAAAATTGACCATATATTATGTCACAGGGCAACTCTTAGAAATTATAAAGGAGTAGAGATAATACCATGCATCTTATCTGATCATAATGGAATGAAACTGAAAATCAACGCTAAAAGAAGGAAGGAAAATCCCTATATCATTTAGAGAATGAACAATATGTTACTGAATGATCAATGGGTTACAGAAGACATCAAGGAGGGAATTAAAAAATTCTTAGAGATAAATGAAAACACAGACACGACATATCGGAATCTATGGGACACAATGAAAGCAGTTCTAAGAGGAAAATTCATTGTTTGGAGTTCGTTCCTCAAAAAAAGAAAAAACCAACAAATAAATGATCTCACACTTCATCTCAAAACCCTAGAAAAAGAAGAGCAAAACAACAGCAAAAGTAGTAGAAGACAAGAAATAATTAAAATCAGAGCTGAAATCAATGAAATTGAAACAAAAGAAACAATAGACAAAATTGACAAAACTAAAAGTTGGTTCTTTGAAAAAATAAATAAGATCAACAGACCCTTAGCCATGCTAAAGAAGAGAAGGAGAGAACTCAAATTGCTAGCATATGGGATGAAAAAGGCAATATCTCAACAGACACTACAGAAATACAGAAGATCATTAGAAATTATTTTGAAACCTTATACTCCAATAAAATAGAAGATAGTGAAGACATCGATAAATTTCATATGATCTGCCCAGTCAGGAGGATATACACAACTTAAACAGACCAATATCAATTGAGGAAATAGAAGAAGCCATCAAAAGACTACCAACCAAGAAAAGCCCAGGACTGGATGGGTATACAGCAGAGTTTTACAAAACCTTTAAAGAAGAGCTAATACCAATACTTTTCAAGCTGTTTCAGGAAATTGAAAAAGAAGGAGCACTTCCAAATTCATTCTACGAGGCCAACATCACCCTGATTCTTAAACCAGACAAAGACATTTCAAAGAAAGAAAACCACAGACCAATATCTCTAATGAACTTAGATGCAAAAATCCTCAATAATATTCTGGCAAATCGGATACAAAAACATTAAAAAGATTGCGCATCATGATCAAGTAGGATTCATCCCTGGGATGCAAGGCTGGTTCAATATACGGAAATCGATAAATGTTATTCACCACATCAATAGACTTAAAGGTAAGAACCATATGATCATCTCGATAGATGCAGAAAAAGCATTCGACAAAGTGCAGCATCCCTTTATGTTCAAAACGCTAGAAAACCTAGGGATAATGGGAACATACCTCAACATTGTAAAAGCTATTTATGCTAAGCCTCAGGCTAGCATCATTCTAAACGGAAAAAAATTGAATGCATTCCCCCTAAAATCTGGAACAAGACAGGGATGCCCTCTCTCACCATTTCTATTCAACATAGTTCTCGAAACACTGGCCAGAGCAATTAGACAGACGAAAGAAATTAAAGGCATAAAGATAGAAAAAGAAGAACTTAAATTATCACTATTTGCAGATGACATGATCCTATACCTAGCAGACGCAAAAGGTTCTACCGAGAAACTTCTAGAGCTAGTAAATGAATTTAGCAAAGTGGCAGGATATAAAATCAACACACATAAATTAAAGGTGTTCCTGTATATCAGTGACAAATCCTCTGAAATGGAAATGAGAACAACCACCCCATTCACAATATCCTCAAAAAAAAAAAAATACTTGGGAACAACAAAAGAGGTGAAAGAACTATACAAAGAAAACTACAAAACACTAAAGAGAGAAATAGAAGAAGACCTTAGAAGATGGAAAGATATACCTTGTTCATGGATAGGCAGAACTAACATCATTAAAATGGCCATATTACCAAAAGTACTCTATAGGTTTAATGCAATGCTAATCAAAATCCCAACGGCATCCCTAGATTAGCAAAAGCAATTCTAAGCAGGAAGAGTGAAACTGGCGGTATAGCGATACCAGATTTTAAACTATACTACAGAGCAATAGTAACAAAAACAGCATGGTACTGGTACCAAAACAGGCGGGTAGACCAATGGTACAGAATAGAGGACACAGACCAATCCACAAAATTACAACTACCTTATATTAGACAAAGGTGCTAAAAGCATGCAATGGAGAAAGGATAGCATCTTCAACAAATGGTGCTGGGAGAACTGGAAATCCATATGCAACAAAATGAAACTGAATCCCTTTCTCTCACCATGCACAAAAGTTAACTCAAAATGGATCAAGGAGCTAGGGATCAAACCAGAAACTCTGCGTCTGATAGAAGAAAAAGTTGGCTCTAATCTCCATCTCGTGGGGTCGGGCTCCAAATTTCTTAATAGGACATCTATAGCACAAGAGTTAAAATCAAGAATCAAGGGGCTGGGGATGTCGCTCAAGCAGTAGCGCGCTCGCCTGGCATGCGTGCGGCCCAGGTTCGATCCTCAGCACCACATACAAACAAAGATGTTGTGTCCGCCGAAAACTAAAAAATAAATATTAAAAAAACTCTCTCTCTCTCTCAAAAAGAAAAAAAAAGAGTCAACAAATGGGACATACTTAAACTAAAAAGCTTTCTCTCAGCAGGAGAAACAATAAGAGAGGTAAATAGGGAGCCTAACATCCTGGAAACAAATATTTACCCCTCACACTTCAGATAGAGCTCTAATCTCCAGAGTATACAAAGAACTCAAAAAATTAAACAACAAGAAAACAAATAACCCAATCAACAAATGGGCCAAGGATCTGAACAGACACTTCTCAGAGGAGGATATACAATCAATCAACAAATATACGAAAAAATGCTCACCATCTCTAGCAATCAGAGAAATGCAAATTAAAACCACTCTAAGATACCATCTCACTCCAGTAAGAATGGTAGCCATTATGACGTCAAACAATAATAAGTACTGGCGAGGATGTGGGGAAAAGGGTACACTTGTACATTGCTGGTGGGACTGCAAATTGGTGCAGCCAATTTGGAAAGCAGTATGGAGATTTCTTGGAAAGCTGGGAAAGGAACCACCTTTTGACCAGCTATTCCCCTTCTCGGACTATACCCAAAAGACCTTAAAAGAGCATACTACAGGGACAGAGCTACATCAGTGTTCATAGCAGCATAATTCACAATAGCTAGACTGTGGAATCAAACCAGATGCCCTTCAATAGATGAATGGGTAAAAAAAAATGTGGTATTTATACACAATGGAATATTACTCAGCACTAAAAAATAACAAAATCAAGACATTTGCAGGGAAATGGATGGCATTAGAGCAGATTGTGCTGAGTGAAGCTAGCCAATCCCTAAGGAGCAAATGCCGAATGTCTTCTTGATATAAGGGGGGGCGACTCAAAAAAGAGCAGGGAGGAAGAGCATGAGAAGAAGATTACCATTAAATAGGGACGAGAGGTGCGTGGGAATGGGAGAGAGAAGGGGAATTGCAAGGAAGATGGAAGGAGACCCTCATTGTTATGCAAAATTACATGTGAGGTGTGGTGTGAGGGGGAAGAAAAAAGAGAGAAAAGTGTCACAGTAGAGTGGGTAGAGAGAGGTGATGGGAGGGGAGGGGAAGGGAGGGGGATAGGAAGGGTAGCAGAACACAATAGACACTAATATGGCTGTATGTATAAACGTGGTTGTATAACCAATGTGATACTGCAATCTGTACACGTGGAAAAATAAGAATTCACACCCCATTTGAATCAAATGTATGATATGTCAAGATCATTGTAATGTTTTGAGCAACTAATAAAAAAATTGAAAAAAAAAAAAAAGAGTCTAATGGGAGCTGGTATGGTGGCACATGCCTGTAATCCTGCAAATTCAAAGCCAGCCTCAGCAGTTTGGACCAGGGATGTAACTCAGTGGTTGAGCACTTCTGGGTTCACTCCCTAGTACCAAGAAAAACTTTAAAAAGAGTCTAAATGGGAAAAGTTAGTCCATGATTGTAAGCAACCTCTTGAAATCCATTTCTCTGGAGGGCAAGACTTGATACTAGTTTTTGTTTTGTTGTTTTATTACTGGGGATTGATCTCAGGGGCACTTTACCACTGAACTATATCTCCAGACCTATTTATTTATTTGGTACTGGGTTTTGAACCCAGGGTGCTTAACCATTGAGCCACATCCCCAAATCCCCCCCCCCTTTTTTTAATGTTTATTTTATTTTTTTGTTTTTTGTAATTGTAGATGGACAGAATGCCTTTATTTTGTTTATTTTTATGTGGTGCTAAGGATTGAACCCAGTACCTCACACATGCTAGGCAGGCACTTTGCCACTGAGCTACAGCCCCAGCCCCAACTCCCTTTTTGAAAAAATTTGAGACAGATTCTTGCTTTGCTGAGGCTGGTCTTAAACTTGGGATCCTCCTGCCTCAGCCTCACTAGTTGCTGGGGATTACACCCAGCTGACATAGTTATCATGTAGAAACAAAACATACCCAAAACACTTGGTAGAACTTCCTGCCTCATTTTGAAGAGAGTAAAAAAAGCCCTCCTGTGAAACTGATGCAGACCCTAAAGAGAGATTGATGAGTGTTCTAAAAAACTATAAATAGCCCCAAAAGAGAGATTGATGAGTGTTCTAAAGAAAATTTATGAAAACGGAGGTAATGATGTGGAATCATTAATAAAGCATAGGCAGAATCAAGACAAAAGCATGTCAAAGGAGACATTGACACTTTAAGGACTGGGGTTTAGTTCAGTGGTAGGATGCATTCTTTGTGTATAGTAGGCCCTGGGTTTGATCCCCATCATTGAAAAAGGGAAAAAAAAGGAATTGTAACATTTTTAAGTTCTTTTTGGAGCATTTCTAGTATGGAAATGTAGGTAAGCTATACAGGTAAATTTGATAACTATTTATGTAGCCTTCTTCTAAGTAAAAGAACAAATTCTCTATTTCCTACTAGAAGATTTATATAAATAAAATATGCTTAGGACTGAGGATATACTTAAATGGTAGAGAATTAGTATGCATAAGGCCCTGAGTTCAATTCCCCAGCACTGTAAAAATAAATAAATTAAATATACTTATTAAACACTGTGTCGTAAGATGGTTAGTACCTGATCTTTTTTGTTGCTGTTAAAGAAACAGAAATCCATTTGGTAAGTTTTACCAGAGATCATCATGACTTGGAAAAGCAATAATCAAAAGGCAAAAATAATTAATATATTGCTGGGCATGGTGGCACATGCCTGTATTTCACTGGCTTGGGATGCTGAGACAGGAGGATCACAAGTTCAAAGCCAGCTTCAGCAACTGAATGAGGCCCTAAAGCAACTTATTGAGATCCAGTCTTGTAATAAAAAAATAATAAAAAGGGCTGAGGATGTGGCTAAGTGGTTAAGCACCCCTGGGTTCAACTCCCAGTACCAAAAAAAAAAAGTATTTGCTTGCCTTTTAAGTTACTGATAGAAACTCCTACCAATCAATGTAAGAATAAGTAAAACTTGAATTTTTGCATAAAATGCAAATTTATACCTGTGCTTTAAGATATAGAGTTTAATCTATTTTCTATAAATAGCTTAAATGATGTACTTACCATGCACTAATTGTCCAATTACAAATATTTTCTCTAGATTTACATGTATTTATTTAAGAATGTATAATTAGCTAAAATTTTGCCAAGAATAAATATGTTTGTATAGTACCATTTACTCATTAAGGTTTTTTTGTTTTTGTTTTGGCACCGGTGACTGAACCCAGGGGTGCTTAGCTATTGAGCCACATCCCCAACCCTTTTTATTTTTTATTTTGAGACAGGGTCGGTCTTACTGAGTTGCTTAGGGTCTTGCCAAATTGCTGAGGTTGGCCTTGAACTTACAATCCTCTTGCCTCAGCCTCCCATTGCTGGGATTGCAGGCATGTGGCAGCATGCCCAGCTCCATTTGGTAAGTTTTACCAGAGATCATCATGACTTGGAAAAGCAATAATCAAAAAGCAAAAATAATTAATTTGAAAATCCGTCTATTCTGTGTTCAATAAAATTAGATTTTTATTCAAAAAGAACCATCTTAAGTGAGCTGTGGTAGTGATGCCTATAATCCTAGTGACTCAGGAAGCTAAGACAGGAGGATCACAAATTCAAAACCAGCCCTCAAGTTAGCAAGAACTTTAGTAACTTAGCAAGACCCTGTCTATAAAAACAAAATTGCTGATGTTGTAGCTCAGTGGTAAAGTAACCCTGGGTTCAGTCCCCAGTACCAAAAAAAAAAAAAAAAAAAAAGTAATAACTTCTTTTAGACACAATATCTTTTTGATTACCTTATTATTTGTTGTTTTCTTTCCTTTTTGCAGCATAGACTTGAATGGGATTTACAGCAGAAGGATGAAGAGATTGCTGAATTGCAGAAAGCTCTGAGTGATATGCAGGTCTGTCTCTTCCAAGAACGGGAACATGTTTTACGCCTGTACTCTGAAAATGACCGACTGAGAATCAGGTACCAAGTAGCTTAAGGGGAATTGTTGGAGTTGTAACTCTAAATTACATTTAAAATGATAAATGTATCTGCAATTATTCTCTTAGATTATATTCGTTAGGAAACAAACTGAGATGGAGATTTGCCTGCAGACCAATTACTGGGGAGATTCTCAGGAGTAATATCTCTTAGCAGATATTTTGACATATACTATCTATGAGAGAATTTGAACTGTGATATATTGATAAAAAAGCCATCCCAACAGGGAGCTCTAAGGCTAGGGTGGCCTTTCAGAGGCAGAGGATTCAGACTTTTATATCTCCATATTGACCAGTCATTGAATGCAGGTTGCTTTAAGGAGAGGGCATAAACTTGGGAGAAGCAGCCCCCTTCTCCCAAGCACAGTTCTTGAGAAGGAGTTGGCTCCTGGGAGATGGTTATCTTGATTCTAAAAGGTACATTTAAGCAGTGCACTATGGCATCCTCTACAGTGTACTTCTCTCCTCCCCACCCCCAATAAAATATACCATTTCAAGCAGGGCATGGTGGCACACACCTGTTATGATCCTAGTGGCTGGGGAGGCTGAGACAGAAGAATCACAAGTTCAAAGCCAGTCTTAGCAACTTAGCAATTCTTCAAGACCTTGCTTTCAGTGCTTATGGGTATATATCCAGAAATGGCATTACAGAATTATTTGGTAATTCTGTTTTACATTTTTTGAGGAACTGCCATTCTGTTCTCCATAGTGGCTATGCCAGTTTACATTCCTACTAATAATACACATGGGTTCTAATTTCTTTACATCCTTGCCTACATTTGTTAATATTTGTCTTGTTTTGTTTTTTGGTACCAGGGATTAAACCTAGGGATGCTTAACCACTGAGCCACATCCCCAATTCCCCAATGCCCCCTCCCTTTTTTTTTTTTAATTTTGAGATAGGATCTTACTAAGTTGCTTAGGGCTTCACTCAGTTGCTGAGGCTTACTTTGAACTTGACATCCTCCAGCCTCAGCCTCCTGAATTTGCTAGGATTATAGGCATGTGAAACCATGCCTGGCAATATTTTCTGATATTTTTAGTTATAGATATACACAGTATCTTTATTTTATTTATTTATTTGTTTGTTTGTTTGTTTGTTTGATTTTTATGTGGTGCTGAGGCTTGAATCCAGTGCCTCACATAATGCTAGGCAAGCGCTCTATCACTGAGCTCCAGCCCCATCCCTAGCCCCATTTTCTAATATTTTTGACAGTTGCCATCTTAATGGATATGAGTAAGTATTTCATTATGATTTTGTTTTCACTTCCTTAATGACAATGTTGAGCATTTTTTCATGTGTTTATTGGCTATTTTTATATCTCTGAAGAAATGTCAGTTCATGTCCCTAGCCCATTTTTTGGGGGGGCGGGGGTTACTGGGGATTGAACTCAGGGGCACTCAACCACTGAGCCACATTCTCAGCCCTATTTTGTATTTTATTTAGAGACAGAGTCTGACTGTGCTGCTTAGCACCTCGGTAAATTGCTGAGGCTAGCTTTAAACTCACAATCCTCTTGCCTCCACTTCCTAAGCTTCTGGGATTACAGTCGTGTGCCACTGCACCCAGCCATTGTCCATTTTTTAATTGGGTTGTTTTGTTGTCATTGTTGGGTTGTAGAAGTTCTTTATATGTTCTGGATACCAAACCCTTATTGGATTCATAATTTGCTAATATTTTCTCCAATTCTGTAGATTGCCTTTTTACTCTCTTATTGGCATCCTTTGATGCACAAAAGTTTTAAATTTGTTGTAGTCCAATTTATTTATTTATTTTTTAGTTATTTCTGCTTTTGGTTTATACAAGAAACCACTGCCAAATCCAATATCAAAAGCTTTTCCTCTAGATTTTCTTCTAGGAATTTCATAGCCTTAACACTTACATTTGGATGTTTGATCCATTTGAGTAAAATTTATTTTTTTATTTTATTTATTTTTTTATTTTTTTGGCATTAGAGATTGAACCCAGGAGTGCCTAACCGCTGAGCCACATCTCCAGCCTTTTTTTTTTTTTTGGTATCTGGGATTGAACTCAAAAGCACTTAACCACTGAGAACATCCCCTGTCCTTTTTCTGTTTTATTTAGAGTCAAGGTCTCACCAAGTTATTGAAGCTGGCTTTGAACTCGTAATCCTCCTGCCTCAGCTTCCTAAGCCACTGGGATTATAGGCGTGCATCACTGCACCCAGCTTTGAATATATTTTATAGATGATATTGAAAGTCCAGTATCATTCTTTGCATGTAGATATCCAGTCCCCGTCTCCACCATCATTATCATCATTATTTTAGTACTAGGGCTTGAACCCAGGGGCACTTTATCACTGATATTTATATGCGGTTCTGACAATGGAACCCAGTACCTCACACATGCTAGGCAAGTGCTCTACCACTGAGCTACAACCCCAGCCGCCTTTTTATTTTTTGTTTGTGACAGGGTCTCACTAAATTGCTGAGGGTCTCCTTAAGTTGCTGAGGCTGGCTTTGAACTTGAAATCCTTCTGCCTGGGCCTCCCCAATTTGCTGGGAATTATGGGTGTGCATTACCATGCCTAGCTCCTACCATCTTTTGTGGGTCTGTTTGTGATACTGGGGATTGAACCCATGGCCTCATGCATTCTAGGCAGGTACTCTACCACTGAACCTCATCCCCAGCCCCAGCATCATTTTAAAAGGAGTTAGCTGTGTGGTTTCTGGATATCCCATAGTTAAGCACTTCATCTTGACAGGATCTAGTAGCATGACAAAAGCTGCTTTTCAAAATGTTCTAATTCTTTACTTCTAGATGGTATGGTCTTGCTCCAGATTCTGAGAGGATCTATTGTGATTCTTATAATAAGGTCAACCAAAACTCCTCATGATTCCTGTTGTAACCACAGGTACTATAAGATCTTTCAGGTCATATGACCTGAGTTGCTTGTACCAAAGTTTTGACCCAATGCAGAACCTCCTTTCTGCCCTGGCCATACTGAAAGCTCACTTTTCATGTTACTTTATACATGGGTTAGAACAGTATCCCAAAGTATAGAATATGTGTCTCCAAGGCCTTTCAGGCATTCCATTTCCTTCTTGATGGTAGTAGCTATAAGGTTCAATAATTTTGTCTTTTACTTTGGAGGGATTGTTCTGGCATGTGAGATCACATTCTCTAAAATCTTTACTAATGTCTTTGTCATGTTTATCTCCAATCCTCTGGAACACACTTATCTTACTAGGGATTTCAGTGCATTTGCTATCTCTTTTCCATGCTTTCTAACTTAATATATTATCCATAGTGAAAAAAATGTGATCTGTGGAATGACCATAACCAGATCCTTTTATACTGTACTGACAAAGATCAAAGGAGTTAACATGGCACTAGGGAAAGACTATAAAAGTATACTCTTGCCCACCTCACATGAATGTGAACTGCTTTTGGTCCTTGGAGGGATGGAAAAGAATGCATTCACCTTTATCAGTGGCCACATTCTATGTACCTCAGATCACATTAATCTGCTCTAGCAAAGATACTACATCTGTCACAGTGATTGAAATTGGAAGTTACCTGGTTAGAATCTGCTATTATTCTCCAGAATCCAAACTTCTTTTGTATAAGTCATACTAATGAATGAAATGAGGGGTTGATAAGGCTCTCCTCTTTGCATTGTTTAAGTCTTTTTACCATCTTGACTGAGTATGGTGTCAAAGGCTTCTGACCCCAGAAGCCAAGAAACAAATTTGGAGGTTCTACCAACTACCAAGGATGTATATTTATATATTTGGTAACTGGGAAAGTGTCTGTTGATTGGATCTGTGAATCTATTAGAACCACTGTGAGCTGCACCAAAATTCTATTTATCCCATGGTCCCCATATGCCTTGTGCTATGGTGATGTTTCACATTAACCAGGTATCAGTGTCACCTCAGACCATATATACAGCAATCCTTGAAGTGCCAGGGTATTCTTTTTACCCTGGTGTAACTACTTGAATGAATGACTTCAGGCCTTGTGGTGAAGAATTGGGGGCAATCATTTACCTTGTACACTTGCTGTAGTGTCACAGGTCTTTGCCTTCTAGGAGATCCAGCCTCTTCTTCAGCTAATAGTCTGGAAAAAAGCACCCAAGGTTATGACTTCTTATGGAGCACAGCCCTTGGCCTCTTCTCCATCTTTGGTTATCTTGATTATTTAAGCTGTACCTTGTTAACTCCCCATCTATCTTGCTCTTTCTCCTAGGAACACTTTGTTCTATGAACTGTCTCCATATCACTAGCTCTGAAGTCCCTCTTTAGAGTTTGCTTCCTTGGTGCAGATCTGCTGTCAGCTGTCTGGTATCAGTTTGGGTTCCCTGGGAAACAAACTGCACAATGAAGATTTGCTTGCAGGAAGTTTTTGGGGGAGTGCTCTAAGGAATAACCACCTCTGAGGAAATAAGGAAAAAGCCTAATTGGACAGATGGAGAATTTCCACTGTGATTCAGTTACAGCACATCTCAGCCAACACCACACAGGTCTCCAAGGCAAGGAGATTGGGTGTTTATACTCCCTCATTGACCAGGTATTGGATGTGGGCCATCCCTGAGGAATGGGAGGCATGAGTCAGTGAAGTAGTTCCCCTTGGCTGAGGGCAGTTCTGGAGAGATTCTACTGTGAATCATCTGTGGGCAACATTCCTGGCAGTCGGGGAATGAGCCCATCAGTACTGAAGAAAAGGATCTAGGCAGTGCACCTCTCCATCCACGAGTTACTGTCTAAGACCAGCTGAGAAATTATTTTCTATCCCTCATCTCTGACTTCCTAGATAAAAATACCTGGTGTCTTAACTATAGCTGAGGTCTAGGTAAGTCTTATTTAATTTTAATTTGAGATTACTGTTTTAAAAACAAGTCAGAAGGGAGATCCTTGAAACAGAAAAGGTTACTTACTTGGGATCCATATGTGTGCTAATTTTCTGTGACAATTGCAGAGAACTAGAAGACAAGAAAAAGATTCAGAATCTCTTGGCTCTTGTGGAAACGGACACTGGAGAAGTGACCTATTTTTATAAGGAGCCTCCCCACAAAGTAAGTAATCTTTGGGTGTTGAATGGGGGTCAGTAATTCAGCACTTGCTAAAGAAAACTTATGGAGAGTAGTTAACCAGTATAGTACCGTGTTGACCTAAGTTTGCAAAGCATTTTCCTTCAGAAACCTTGGGAAGTAGCGTTGTTTACTCCATTTCCCCATTTAGAAACCTAAAGCCATTGTAGAATGCTTGATTAGCATGCATACATGAGGCCCTGGTTTCTATCCCCAGCATCACAAAAGAGAGAAAGAAACATAAAGCCCAGAGGGGTAGATATTTTAAAGAGGAAAATGGGCAGACTTTGTGGAAAGAAAGTTTCAGTATTTAAGATTTTTAAAAATCTTGATTTATACTGATTACAAATGTAATACATGGTATTTATTAAAAAACAGTACAGAGGGCTGGGACTGGGGCACTTGGCCTGGTATGTGTGAGGCACTGGGTTCGATTCTCAGCACCACATGTAGATAATAAAGATCTATCAACAACTAAAAAAAAAATTAAGAAGAAAACAAAACAGTACAGAGATCTATCATATAAAAATGACAGTTTCCCCTAATCCTCTAACCCAGAAATGAACCATTATTAATAGTTTTGTTTGTTTGTTTGTTGTGCTGGGGATTAAACCCAGGACCTTGTGCATGTGAGGCAAGCACACTACCAACTGAGCTATATCCCCAGCCCCCATTATTAATAGTTTAATATAGCAGGGCATGGTGGAGCACACCTGTAATTTCTAGCAACTCAGGAGGCCAAGAGGATTGCAAGTTGAAGGCCAGCCAAAGCAACTTAGCAAGACCCTGTCTCAAAATATAAAGAGCTGGGGACGCAGCTTGAGTTTTCAAGTTCCCCTGGGTTCAATCCCCAGTACCAAAAAAAAAAAAATAGTTTGGTATATATGCTTCCAGTTCTTTTTTCCATTCTTATAGAAATGTTTATGTGGGAGCCTGGATGGTGGCACATGCCTATAATCCCAGTGATTTGGGAGGCTGAGGCAGGAGGATCGAAAGTTCAAGGCCAGCCTTAGCAGCTTAGCAAGGTCCTAAGCAATTTAGTGAGACCTGTTTCAAAATAAAAAAATTGTAAAAAAAGGCTGGGATGTAGCTCAGTGGTAAAGCGTCCCTGGGTTCAAACTCCAGTACCAAAAAACAAAATTTTACAAAAAGAAGTATTTGTATAGGACTGGACTGGAGATAGATCTCAGTGATAAAGTACTTGCCTTGCATGCAGGAGGTTCCGAGTTCTCAGCACTGCAAAAAAAAAAAAAAAAGAAAGAAATGTTTACATGTATGTATATACTATTTACTGTTTCCATTTTTTCACTTTTTTTTTTTTTTTTCCCCTATACTGGGGATTGAACCCAGGGATGTTTTGCCACTCAACTACAACCCCAGTTCTTTTTATTTTATTTTGAAACAGGGTCTCCCTAAGTTGCCTAACTGGCCTTGAACCTGATCTGCTGCTTTTGCCTCCCAAGTCACTGGAACCACTGTGCCCGGTTCCTTTTTTTCACTTTTCATAGGTAATTTCTCATTAGCGTTTTTACTTATATTTACATATGAATATTTCTGTAATATGTAATATTTCTATTACTTTCTTTAAAGGCCCTTGTAAAAGAGCCCCCTTTTTAAGCATGTTTTGTGAAATATCCCTATAATTTTATTTTTTAGTTTATATCAACACTAGGTTTTATCTAAAAAAACTTTGTGTTGCCTCTCACATGCAAAACATCCTTATTACATAATTATTCAGTTTTGACAAATTTAATATAAAAATAGTGTGGAATCGGCAGAATTAAGGCTAAAAAGTAAAATTTCACACTTACAGGAAAGCTACTTATCCTTTTTTGGTTCTTTAGGTCAGCATTTTTCAAAACACTATTCAGGCTGCTGGTGTATGTGAACAGAATGATTCTTCAGCTCCTAAACCAGGTAACAACCATGTTATTAGAAAGTCTCATTGATGCAGAATTAAAAATCACAGCACAAATAATTTGAAATTTCTCCTACTAAACAAGTGATAATTGGTGTTCATAATGATGCCTCTGGTGATCTAAGATCTTACCGAGTTTCTTGAATCATCTAAGAATCTGCACTTTATTCAGTGCATATTTTCTTTTATTCTTTGTTTTAATATTTTTTAAATTGATACATAACAATCATATATATATTTATGGATATATATTTATGGAGCACAGAGTGGCATTTCAATAATGTATGTGATGTATAGTGATCAGATCAGAAAAAATCAACATATAAATCACCTATCATTTCTTAGTTTTGGGAACATTTAAAATCTTCTGCATTGGCTGTTTTGAAATATACAATTGATTGCCATCAACCATAGTTATCCCACTTTGCTTTTGAACATTAGAAATCATCCTCTGATCCAGCAATACCCCTGCATCTGTTTTCCTTTGTATATACTTCCCAGGCTCTGGCAACCTCAGTGTAATTTTTTTTAATACTTTTAATACTTTTTTAATACTTTTAATACTTTATTTTTTAATTTTTTATGTGGTGCTGAGGATCGAACCCAGGGCCTCGCACGTGCCAGGTGAGCACTCTACCACTGAGCCACAATCCCAGCCCCCTCAGTGTAATTTTTAGTATTGCTTATTTTATTTTATTTTATTTTTAAATTTTTTAGTATTTTTAGTTATGCATGACAGTAGGATGTATTTTGATATACACACATGGAATATAACTTCCCATTTTTCTGGTTGTAGCTACATGATGTGGATTTACATTGGTTGTATATTCATATAAGAACATAAGAAAGTTATGTCCGGTTCATTCTATTGTCTCTCCTTATCCCATCCTTCCTCCTTCCCTTCATTCCCCTTTGTCTAATCCAGTGAATTTCTATTCTCCCCCAACCCCACCTTATTGTGAGTTAGCATCCACATATCAGAGAGAATATTCAGCCTTTGGTTTTTTTGGAATTGGCCCATTTCACTTAGCATAATAGTCTCCAGTTCCATCCATTTACTGGCAAATGCCATAATTTCATCCTTCTTTATGGCTGAGTGATCTTCCATTGTGTGTATGTACTAGTGTTGCTTTTATTTGGTTGTCAATGGACCTTTGTTCATTTATTTATTTATCTATCTATTTATTTATCTACAGTACTGAGAATGGAATCCAGTTCCTTGCACATGCTAGGCAAGCACTCTACCACTGAGCTACAACCCTAGCCCATAGTGTTGCTTATTTTAAAAATAACTTGGAGCTGCGGTTGCAGCTCAGTGATAGAGCATTGGCCTAGCATTCGTGAGGCACTAGGTTTAATCCTCAGTACCTCATAACAATAAAATAAAATAAAGGTATTGTGTCCATCTACAACTAAAAAAATATATAATTAAAAAATTAAAACAATAACTTTGTGTTTTGAAGTTTAATATGTCATAACCAAAATATTTGAATTTAGTTTTTCTTATTCCTTATGCATTCTGATTAAGTAAGATCTCACTAAGAAAGTAGACAGCTGAGCCTGGTGGTATATGCCTGTAATCCCAGCAACTTGGGAGGCTGAGGCAATTCAAGGACAGCCTCAGGAATTTAGTGAGGCCCTACGCAACTTAGTGAGACCCTGTCTTGAAATAAAAAATAAAAAGGTCTGAGGATGTGGCTCAGTGGTTAAGTGCCTCTGGGTTCAATCTCTAGTATAATCAGTCAATCAATAATATGAACAAAATAAAAAGAACTAGGGATGTAACTCAGTGGTAGAACATGCCTGGGTTCAATCCCTAGTACCAAAAAAAAAAAAAAAAAAACGCAATGCAAAGGAACATTAGTAGTTGATTCTGCTGAAAGGTAAATCTGATTATCTAGGAGAACTCCTATAGAGTTTACTTACAGAAATTCCCACTTGAAAAAATAAGCATTATAAGTATTGTGTGTTTTCCTTTGCCTTCCTTTCTTTCTGTAATAGGTAAAAGAAACTGAACTCCTCTGCATGGATAATGCTGAAACTTTTTCTTTTTGTAATGTTGAAAATTAAATAGCAGAAAGAAAAGTTGAGTAGTCTTGTTGATGGATATTTGTTTTCTAATTTAGATTCTAAAGAAGAAAAAAAAAGATCATCAATAAGAGAGAAGGAATACGGTTCTGAGCATTACCAAGGAGACATAGAAACACTCATCCTACAGGTAACGGATTTATTTTGGCAGACCAAGATGATTTCTGTCCACACGTTTAGCTTTGTAAAATGTTCCTTCAGTATCATGCAAGTCTTTCATTTCACATGGGTTTTATTTAGGCATCATGTGATTTAAAAAATTGAGGTTTTCCTAATTTCTAAGTGCTTATTGGCGGGTACCAGGGATTAAACTCAGGAGCACTTGACTACTGAGCCACATCCCCAGCCCTATTTCGTATTTTATTTAGAGACAGGGTCTCACTGAGTTGCTCAGTACCTTGCTTTTGCTGAGGCTAGCTTTGAACTCATGATCCTCCTGCCTAAGCCTCCCGAGCCTCTGGGATTACAGGCATGTGCCACTGTGCCCGGCTCTTCTAAGTGTTTATAGTTTAAAACCATTATTCTCTATTTGAACATTCTAGAAGTACTTCTCTAAACCTTCAGTTCATATTACTAAGCTCTACCCAACAAAACCGTCTTAAAGTAAGAATTCAGTTTGTGGTTGGCCTAGGAGGAACACAAGAGAATTATAGAAGGAAGTTTTTCTGTGCTGACAGATCAACATTTGCAGTTATATCCATTTATTTAGTTCATGAGTTCTAAAGTCTAGGAAAGTAATAAATCATTTTCTTGTTACCTGGTAATTATATGTCCTTTGGTGTCATCTTTTATCTTATTGCACTGAAGTTTCTATCCTTCTCCCATTGATTTAAATGACAGTTTCTACCTTTGGCCAGTATTTTCAGAATCAGAGAAGGAAATTACATTACATTCCTTTTGCTCTATTTTTTTAAATCAAAAACTCAAGAGTCATTCTGTTTCTATGCATGCAGTACCTCTTAAAAGGGAGACAGTGAAAAGGCAAGATAGGGTTGGGGAAATAAAATTTTGTTGCCTTCTCTGTGTGATGTAGATATGGGCTTTAGTGTAGACAAAGAGTCTGCTCTTCTGTAGCCTAACCTCACTTTATAAGACATGAATAAAGAGATTAGAGTTGAGACTTTTCTCCTGTTTGTTTTGCTGCTGTGCTTTAGGTTTGTTTTACTTTAGCTTTCTTTCTGGGAAAGGCTTTTTTTTTTTTAGTGTTATGAACTAAGTGCACACAGGAGTGGATCCCTCACCCCTGTCGCCTGTCTAGGTGGAAGCACTGCAGGTGCAGCTAAAAGAGCAGACCAAGTTTTCTAGAGAACAAGTCGAAGGGCTCATGGAGGACAGACGGATTCGCATCGAGGAGATACAAGTTCAGCACCAGAGAAATCAGGACAAAATTAAAGAACTAACCAAAAGGTGAATGCTCAAGAAACATGTACCTAACAGGTGTCCTGTTTTTCTGAGTAGCTTAAAAGTTAACAATTCTTGGGCTGGAGACATAACTAAATGGTAATGTGCTTGCCTGACATGCACAAGGCCCTGGTTTTATGATCCCCAGCACTCAAAAAAATCCAACAGTTCTGTACTGTAGCATCTGTACTGGGGATTGAGCCCAGAGGAGCTTTGCCACTGAGGTACATCCTCAGCCCTATTAATTTTTTATTTTGATACAGGGTCTCACTAAGTTGCTTAGGGCTTTGCTAAATTGCTAAGACTGGCCTAGAACTTGGGATCCTCCTGCTTCAGCCTTCTAAGCCTCTGGAATTACAGATGTACACCACCAAATCCACACCCAGCTCTCTTGTTCTTTGATTTAACCATCTTTAGTCTTTTGTTTAGTTCCAGTGGCCAGATTGTGTCATAAAGATATCCTTTGGGGGCCAAGGTTGTGGCTCAGTGGTCGAGCACTTGCCTAGCATGTGTGAGGCACTGGGTTCTATCCCCGGCACCACATAAAAATAAAATAAAGGTTAAAAAGAAAGGGGGGGAGAAATTTAAAAAAATTAGGCCTGGGGTTGTGGCTCAGTGGTAGAGCACTTACATTGCATGTGTGAGCCACTGAGTTCAATTCCCAGCACCACATAAAAAAATAAAGATATTGTGTCCATCTACAACTAAAAGTATTAAAAAAAAAAAAAAGACATCCTTTGTTGAGTATGTTTGAACACCTCAAATTTACCACTACTGAAACCAAACTATTTATGTCTCTCAATAAATCCTCCCTCCCCAACCTCAAACTTACTAATTCATTCTTTTTCCCATTTAATTTCATATCATTACATCCATCTAGTTTGCCAACCTTGAAACCTCAGGATCATCCTCAACTCCCAGGTCTCATTTCTTAATTACAAACCATATATTTAGAAGACAACAAGTCTTCTAACTTCATTCTCTGGCTAGGCATGGTGGTGTACTCCTGTAATCCCAGCTATTTGAGAGGCTGAGGCAGAAGGATTGCAAGTTCAAGGACAGCCTGGGCAATTTAGCAAGACCCTGTCTCAAAATATAAAAGGACTGGGCTGGGGATGAAGCTCAGTGATAAAGTGCCCCTGGGTTCAATCCCCCGTACCAAAAAAAAGAAAGAAAAAAAAAAGAAAAGAAATTCTCTGCTTTTCATTTCTGTTGATTCAATTGTATTGTTTAAATTCTTGTAATAATCTAACTATTCTTCCTATCACTTTTCTCTTTGTATTTTATAACCTTCCTTATGAATTAATTCCTCTATTAGGAGTTATCAACTGCTTAAAAACATTTGAACCAGGTATAGTGGCACACACTTATAGTCCCAGTTACTCAGGAGGCTGGGGCAAGAAGATTGCAAGTTCAAGGCCAGCCTTAACAACTTTGTGAGATGCTATCGCAAAATAAGATTTTTAAGAAGTTCTGGGTATTATAACTCAATGGTCGAATGCTTGTCTAGCATACACAAGGCCTTGCAGCTCAATCCCTAGTCCCATAAAAGAAAAGATAAAATAAATAAAAACCACATTTGATAGTTCTCCCATTTACTGTATTATAAAGCATAAATTCTTAGGGACTCCACTGTCTAACATCAAATTAATCTTTGAGCTTCAACTCCTTCCCTCTTGCTTTAGTTCACATTGTGCTTCAGCCAGACTAATAACTCTTGTTTATATAGCAGGCACCTTGATAATAAGCATTGTCACTCCTTCTCTGAGGACATCCAGGCCAAATTAAGTTCTTCCTTTCCACGTTCCCATAATGATTACTGTGCCTCCATAATGACTTATCACCTCATAGTAGATTGTCTTTTGTTTCCTCAGGTCTTGATATATAGCCTGTGTCCTACCCTGTGTACACAGTAGCCATACACAAGTTGCACCTTGCCATTTCTTTTCTACATTAAACATCTTTTTAAAAAATTTTCTTCTGGGGTCTGGGGCTGTGGCTCAGTGGTAGAGCGCTTGCCTAGCATGTGTGAGGCCTGGATTCCATCCTCAGCACCATATAAAGATAAATAAATAAAGGAATTTGGTCCATCTACAACTAAAAAAATATATATATTAAAAAAAAATTTTTTTTTCTGTGCTAGGGATCAAACCCAGGGCTTCATACATGCTAGGCAAATACTCTTCCACTGAGCCACAACTCCAGCCCATAATTTGTAATTTGGTTTAGCATTATTTGCATATATAAGCTTGGTCAATTTTGTCCATTAGATAGATCTTTTTTTTTTTTTTTTTTTTTTTTTGTAAATGGACATAATACCTTTATTTTATTTTATTTTTATGCGGATGTGGTGCTGAGGATCGAACCCAGTGCCTCACACATGCTAGGCAGGTACTCTACCACTGAGCTACAACCCCAGCCCTAGATAGATCATTCTAAGGTTATTGAATAGCCTAAAATCCTAGGTTATTAATGATTGTCCTTTGGGTGTCACTCTCAAATCATTGTATATTAACTGGACAATACTTTCCTAATTTGTAATTGAGAATATAATGTAAAATAGAATAAAATTACTCACTGAAAACAGGAGAGATCCTTGTGGTAACTGACTCAGTCTATCCCCGTGTGTTTACTTTTTTTTCTTTTTTCTCTCTGTTTGTGTACACACATATACCCTAATACGTATATATATTCATCTGGTTACATTTGCTTTACTTTGTGCCTGGCACTGTGCTATCATTTTCCTCTTATCTGTGTACCCTGTTAATCATAAAAAGAATTAAGTGAATATAACAATAGGTTTTCATTGGAAAACTAGTTATTGCTGCATGGTACTTAATATTCTTGTAGGTAATTGAATCATTTAGTATAGAATTTTTCTAGGTGGTGGTGTTAAATTAATGAGTTGCTGATTTCCAGGGATTTCTGGGGAGTTGTTTACTGGGGATTGAACCCAGGAGTTTGTGAGGCTGGCCTCAAACTTGTGATCTTCCTGCCTCAGCTTCCCAAGTTGCTGCGATTACTGGTGTGCATCACCATGCTGGCAGGGATATTCATTTTCAAAACTACAAACATCATTTTTCAATTTCTAAATCTTGAGAATAGTTATCAGGAATCTATGTAGTGCCTGTATATGTCTAGTAGTTGATAGTATTCTTGCAAATCTATTCATAGTAGCATAAAAATACATTATAAATAAGGTATATACTTTGGGGAACATCCTGCAGGTTGATATTTAAAATCATATATATATATATATATATATATATATATATATATATATATATATATATATATATATATAAAAACAAGTGTTGAATTATGAGACAAGGTATATATTAAAATTAATAATAAGAGAGCTGGGATTGTGGCTCAGTGGTAGAGCACTTGCCTATCATATGTGAGGCATTGGGTTCAATCCTCAGCACCACACACAAAAATAAGTAAACTAATAAAATAAAGTTTAAAAAAGTTTTTTAAAAAATAAGAAATGGGAAATTAAAATGGACTTAAGTATTTGAGATGACTTCATAGAGAAAGTTTATAAAGGCTAACCTGGGAGCACGGGTAGATACATTACCCTTACCCAGTAAAATGGCATGGTGGCACACACCCATAATCCCAGCAGCTCAGGAGGATCTCAAGTTCAAAGCCAGCCTCAGCAACTTAGCCAGGCCCTACACAACTTGGTAAGACCCTCTCTCAAAATAAAAAATGAAAAGGGCTGATGATGCGGCTCAGTGGTAGAGCACCCCTGGGTTCGATCCCTGGTTAAAAAAATAAGGTTGCCAATGATCAGAAAAAGTGTGGTTTTAAGACTGCTGATATTTTACAAAATTCATATATTGTACAATTGGAAAAGAACCATTGTCTTCCTTTTTGGAATAACCCTATATTTCAGATGTACTATATAAGCATTTTCTTTTTTTTTTTTTTTTTTTAAGAATTTTTAATATTTATTTTTTAGTTCTCGGCGGACACAACATCTTTGTTTGTATGTGGTGCTGAGGATCGAACCCGGGCCGCACGCATGCCAGGCGAGCGCACTACCGCTTGAACCACATCCCCAGTCCCCAATATATAAGCATTTTCATGTCCATGCTTGTCCTCTCTTTCATAGTCTCCATCATACCCAAGAACTGCTCTATGAGAGCACCAAAGACTTTTTGAAATTGAGATTTGAAAACCAAACTAAAGAGAAGACATGGATGCTTGAAAAAGATCAGTTGATGTCAAAGATTAAGCAATACAGGATGCAGAATAAGAAGAAAGATGATAAAATTGGAAAAGTTATGCCAGTTTTACATGACAGTCATCATACCCAAAATGAATATATTAAGGTAATGTCCTGATACCTTAGAGAAATGTTTATTTTTCTAGAACACCACAAGAACTCAGAGAATTACAAAGAACCTACATATTATCATATATAATCCATTCAGTCAAGGAAGCTGGGGTAGCAGCAGCCAAAAATAGCTGATCATTAACAAATGGGCTAGACTTTGTGGCTACAGCAGTACATAGGCTAGACAAGATCTGTCCATGTGGTGTTTACTGGTTGTTTTTTTTTTCAGTACTGATGATTGAACCCAAGGGCACTACCACTGAACTACATCTCCATGCCACTTTATTTTGTTTAGGTGCTGGGGATTGAACTCAGGAGTGCTTTATCACAGGGTCTTGCTAAGTTGCTGAGGGTCTCACCAAGTTGCTGAGGTTAGCCTCCAACTTGCGGTCTTCCTGCCTTAGCCTCCCAAGTCACTGGGATCACAGGTGTGTGTACCACACCAGGCTTGGTGTTTATATTTAATGAAAAAAACAAACAATAGCAAATAAGCAAGAAAATTATAGATTATAAAAAGTGATAGATATTAAGGAATAGAGAATTAAATGAAGATTGCATATAATCACTGGAAGCCCATTTCAGAAGGGGAGCACAGGGACACTCTTATGTCTGATTGTTTCTGCTGAAACCTGTAATATGGAACTAAGCTTGCCAAGGAGACCTAGGGAAGGAGCATTCCAGGCAAAGGGAGAAGAAGTTTAAAGGCCTTCAGGTACATTCAAGGAAGAGGAAAGATATCATGGTTGTAGAAGATTAAGCAAGGAGGAAATGATAGGCAAGAAGCTTACAAGAGTGGGCAGATAGGTCATGGGTAAAAAATATGAACTCAGTGCCAACCGTTGTCTTCTAAGGATTGTGTTTACGTAAGTAACATCTGATTTAAGATTTTTTTGTTTTGTTTTTGAGATAGCTTCACTATATTACCCAGGTTGACCTTGAACCCTTGGGCTTTAAGTAATCCTCCTGCCTTAGCCTCCTGAGTAGCTGGAACTACAAGTATACATTACTGCACCAAACTCTATTTAAAGTTTTTAAAAGGTCATTTTGCTATTCAATGAAACACATATAAAAACATGTTATTGTTGTTAGTTAATGTTTTTTCCTCTTTGAAGAAGATCTTCAGAAGCGTGGCCCAAAACATGTATTGTAACATTTTATTTGGGACAAATTCTGAGCTCCATTATGTGACCCCATTTGTCTTTGTTTTAAAGGATTTCTATATACACTTTCAAAAAGGGGCTAAAAAAGTAATCTAGAAATTGGAAGTTTGGAGCTGGGAATGTGGCTCCATGGTAGAGCAACTTGCTTAGCACGCTTAAGGTCCTTAATTCAGTCTCCATCCAAAAAATAAAAAAGAAATTGTAGGTTTCCATATGTTCTCTAAGGTTCCTTGCCATCTTGTTCCTTAACTCATTTTGTATTTCTATAAATCCCTTCTTTCTTTTCTTTCATTACCTAAGTGCTAACTGAATCATCTAATTTGTAGAACTTAGTATTAATGCTTTTTGTCCTTTCAACCTGCAGTCCCTAAAGGATAAGTTGGCACAAGAGAAAAAGTTGTCCAACATGTACCAAGAGCAGTGCATTGCTCTAGAAGAAGAACTTGCCAAAATTCGAGAGGAGGAGGGAGTGAGGAGAGAGATCTTCAAGGTACAAAATTCTCTGCCACTTAAAATGGAGTGGGAAGTGTAGGTGACTGGGGAATGCTTCCTTCCTCTTAAATGCCTTCCTATTCTCCATATATAGGATCGCTCTAACAAGATGAGTAAGCGTTTACAGATAATGACAAAACGCTATGAGGCCTTAGAGCACAGACGTATGTTGGAAGTAGAAGGCTTTAAGACAGATATCAAGGTTCTCCGACAGAGACTGAAAGACTTGGAGCAAATGCTCTATAAGGTAATCTCTGGTCCTGAATTACCACAAAAGAGAAAGGGTAAGAAGTGTAGGAACATGATCATGAGGGCTCCATTGTAGCTCAGTGGTAGGGCATGTGCTTAGCTTCCATAAGGCCCTGGGTTCAATCCCCAGCACCACAAAAAAAAAAAAAAAAGAAAGAAAGATGTGCCATTTCCCTGCTGGTAGACACTAGGATCACCACCCTTCTAGTCTCCCTGAAAATCAGTTCAACAAGTACACACTACAGAGGAAACCAAAATAGACTGAAATAATTGAATGGCTGTATCATTAATACTTCTATCTAAACAAAACTTAGAAATTATCATCCCTTGTGGTACACGCCATAATCCCAGCAGCTCAGGAGGCTGAGGCAGGAGAATCCTGAGTTTAAAGCCAACAGCAGCAAGGTGCTAAACAACTCAGTGAGACCCCGTCTCTAAATAAAATACAAAATTGGGCTCAGTGGTTAAGTGCCCCTGAGTTTAATCCCCAGTACCCCCCCCCCCGCCAAAAAAAAAAAAGAAACAAAAGAAATTGTCATCCCTCCCAATTCATGAAGTAAATTTAAAGAATTATGTCTGTTGGACAAATGGGAAAAGTGAGTAATTAATAAAGTAATTTTCCCAGACAGAGCTTTTTAGAAGCCAAGTTGCATCAAGAGCCTTCTTAGAGATTTAACTAGTCATCCATATATCCAAAATGATAACTATGTTCTGAACAAGGTTAATAATAAAAAAAGAGGAGGTGTTTCCTCTTATTCTTTAGCAGATTTACCAATAATGTTGTTTATATAGATCGCTTCTTTTTACCCATTTTTGTTTACTGCACTCTTTTTTCAAGGCTTCTCTACTGTTGTATGGGAAATAATCTCTTGCCTTTACTGAAAAACTAAGAATTGAATTTATTCTGTGTACTAAATATCCCATAAAAAGATGCCATTCAGCACAGTCTGCTCTTTATGACTCTTTGAAATCTCTTCCCTGTCTTATGCCATAATTGTTTCTTCTTTTTTCAAATCTTTAGGCAACAATTAATACCCGGGCAAACCAGGACCTTGCCATTCTGTGTGAGGTCCGAGACAGCAATAGACGGGCACACAAGATACAAGGAGAACTGAAGAACATCAAATCCAAAGTGTTCGGTCTGGAGAATGAACTTAGGCTCTGTTGATGTCTACTTTCAGAGGCGGTCAGCTTCCTGAAATCTAGGAAAAGGTTATCTGCTCCCAAAAAGACTTACAGTTGACTGGAGTATCCGTTTTTATAAAGACAAAGTGAAGAATCGGAGCACTAAAAAGCTTATCTTGTATACTAAGCCTTATTCGTAATTTTCACTCTCCTGTTAACCTTTTGGGAAGTCTGGATTATAGCCTGAATTACTCTGAGGCTTTCCCACATTATTTCTCCTGTTTGTTTTAACAGGTTTTGTTTTTTAAAACAAAGATGAAAATTTAGGAGAAAGTGTTTTTTGCTAAGAACTTGGCTGAGTGTCATTAGGAAGAACACTTTCTAAAGGAATAAAGACATTCATTAAAGTTGCCTTCCTCCTAGGCAGAGAAAGCTGCAGCACTCGGCAAATTTGCACTACTCAGCTATGGAACTTTGGAATTTTTCCATCATGAGCATCTCCTGAATTACCACCAGAGGGCAGTAGAGACCCTACTCTTAGGCAAATGATTATAGAAAAATAGAGGTGCCACTTTGGCAGGAGTGAGACTGAAATGATCCTTTATGAAAAGTTTGACATTGTATCAATAACATTTTTTAAATAATGTATATATTTCAAATTAACTATTTTCAATAAAATAAGTAATCAAAAATATTTGAGTTTTCTATATGTCTTGTTAAACCCATGTTTATATTTTTTTAATGTCTCATTTATCTCAAAAGTGCTTTCTTGTTCCCTGGCCTCTGCTGTTTTGTACAAGTTTTTCCAAATTAAATCTCGAAATCATCTGGTATTGGAGGTAGTAAGAAGAGTACAAGGGCAATGACACTAAAACTTTCTTTTTTTTTTTTGCACTGAGTATTGAATTCAGGGATGCTTAACCACTGAACCACATCCCAACCCTTATTTTGCTTAGGGCCTTACTTAGTTGCTGAGGCTGGCTTCTGTTGTGATCCTCTTGCTTCAGCCTTCCAAGCTGCTGAGATTATAGGCATGCATCATTGTGCCCAGCAACTTTACCCATTTTTAGCTAAATTACTGTGTACTTTAATACGAGGGTGAATTTTATGGTATGTGAGTTATATGTCAGGTTTTTTTGTTGTTGGGTTTCAGGGATTGAACTCAACCTTATTTTGTATTAAGATAAGGTCTCACTGAGTTGCTAAGCACCTCACCATTGCTGAGGCTGGCTTTGAACTTGGGATCCTCCTGTCTCAGCCTCTGGAGCTGATGGTATTATATGTCAGTTTTTAAAAATACATATACATGAATTACTCAGTCTGGTGCCTAGCATATAGTACATTCAATTGTGGTTAAATATTATCAATATTTTGGCTTTAATTTCTACCAGTTGTTTACCATTGTCATTTAGGTTCCAAGATGTAGTTAATACCATTCATTCCTTCATTCAAAATCTTAAGCCAGACATGGTGGTGTACACCTATAATCCCTGTCTCAAAATTAAAAAGCTCATTGGTAAAACACGCTTTGGTTAAATCCCCAGTACCAGAAAAAATAAAATAAAAATGATTATTATGGTATTAGAAATGTGCTGGTTCTTCTGTATAAAAACCCTAAAACTGGGGCTGGGGATGTGGCTCAAGCGGTAGTGCGCTCGCCTGGCATGCGTGCAGCCCGGGTTTGATCCTCAGCACCACATACAAACAAAGATGTGGGTGTCCGCTGAAAACTAAAAAATAAATATTAAAATTCTCTCTCTCCCTCCCTCTTTAAAAAAAAAACCTAAAACTGGGCATGGTGGCACATGCACATGTCTATAAGGCTAGCTCAGCAACTTAGCAAGACCCCATCTCAAAAGTTTAAAAAGGGCTGGGGATATAGCTCAGTGGTAAAGCACCCTTAGGTTAAATCCCTAGTACAAAAAAATAAATAAAAACACTGAAACAGTCTTTGTTCTCCAATGGTTGGTGGTGATGGTAAAAATAAAAAGCCCAAGTTAGTAATGAATGAAAAGCAGTGCTATAGGTGCATAGGATAGAAGCAGCAGAGAAGATGACTCAAGGAGGTATCTTTGAGCAGAATCTTTCCATTTTTTGTTTTGTTTTGCTTTGTTGTTGCTACTGTTGTTTTGGTACTGGGGTTTGAACACAGGGGCACTGAGCTAAATCCCTAGTCCTTTTTATTTTTTATTTTGAAACAGGGTCTCCCTGTTGCTGAGGCTGACCTCAGATTTACAATCCTTGGCCTCAGCCTCCTAAACTGCTGGGATTTCAGGTGTGTGTGACCATGCCTGGCTCAAGCAGAATCATAAAAGTGAATTCAAGGCCAGGCGTGATGGCTCACACCTGTAATTGCAGTGGTTCAGGTGGCTGGAACAGGATCACAAGTTCAAAGCCAGCCTTAGCAATTTAGCAAGGCCCTAAGCAACTCAGCAAGACCCTGTCTCAAAATATTTTTTTAAAAAGGCTGTGGATGTGGCTCAGTGGTTAAGTGCCCTGGGTTCAATCCTTGGTACCAAAAGTGGGGGGAAAGGATCATAAGTTCAAAGCCAGCCTCAGAACTAAGTGAGGTTCTAAACCTACCCCTTTCTCAAAAAATAAAAAGGACTGGGGATGTGGCTCAGTGGTTAAGCACCCCTGAGTTTAATCCCTGGTACCAAATAAAAAAAGTAAATTCAAGCCAGATATGGTGGTGCACCCTGTAACCCAAACTACTTGGGAAGCCGAGGCGGAAGATCATAAGTTCAAGGCAATTTAGGGAGACCATGTATTAGAATTAATAATAGAATGGGGTTGTAGCCCATTAGAGCACTCCTGGATTCAATCTCCAGTACCAGGGGGAAAAAGGAAGTGAATTTAGAATCAATCTGGGCATTCTAGGTAGAGGAGAAATAACATGCAAAGGCAAAAAAGAACAGTGGGGAATTGCAAGAACAGGAGACAGTATGCAATGTACATTAGAAGTTGTATGAAATTTCAATAAATACAATTATGCAATTCTTAAATTCAAGACTTTTGCATCAATTGAAAACATTTGGGTTTACTTTAAAATGGGGTGAGGAGCCAGGCATGGTGGTATGTGCCTCTAGTACCTACTACTCCAAGACAGATGGGAGAATGGCTTGAGCCCAAGAGTTTGTGGCTGGCCTGTGCAACATAGCAAGACCCCATCTCAGAAAACAAAACTACAACAAAAAAGCAAAAAAAAGGGGGGGGGGGGGGAATAGCCAAAATTTGAAACAGCTGGTGGTAACAATTAACGTGTAAAACGAAAATTGGAAATACAAACTCACTTTCTTAAAAATTAGGGATGGACGAGAAGCATCATGCAATAATAAATCTGTGAGATGTTTATTTCCTAGGAATTCTTTGTACTGCAGACCAGAGTAATGTGTAATCACTACCAGGATTTATTGCTGTATCTATAGGAACAATGAAAAAGATGGTACAAAAGATCTGAAAGCAGCCATCAGTGTCATCTGCTTTGCCTTTTAAAATTTCTCTTTTAGCCTATATACATGAGTAACTTAGCAATGTCACCTTTTTATCCATAAAATGTATGTGATTTTTCACAACATAAAATAGCCTCTGGCTGTTATTTTGGGTCCAGTCTTGTGATTCTCACTGCCTCTCCACCCACACCACACTACTTGGGCTACCAAGATTTACTGTAATATTTGCAATGCAGCAGATTGTACTGTTACCACTCACTGCATACAGGATCAGAGAGAAGATGGCTACTGTCTTTATCCAAGAGAGAAATTCAAGGGTAAACTAAAGAAAGACATTGAGAATAGAGAGGAAGGGACAGATTTGAGAAACAAAAGAATGGAAATGGGATCTTTGTGATAGATGAGATGTGAGGGTTAGGGGAAAAGATACTTTCTGACACCAAAGCCTTTGTGTTTTGTTTGTTTTGGTTTAGTTTTTGTTGATGTTTTAACTTCCCTGGGGATTGAACCCAGGAGGACCTCTGCGTATCCTAGGCAAGTCCTCTGCCAACTAAGCTACATCCCCAGCCTTTTTTTTTTTTAACTCCAAAGTTTCCAGTTTGGAGAACCATGTTATAGTAACAGCATTAACTGAAATTCAGTGTGTGTGAGAGCTAGGCGTGGTGGCACACACCTGTAATCCCAGCAGCTCAGGAGGCTGAGACAGGAGAATCTTGAGTTCAAAGCCAGCCTCAGCAAAAAATTAGGCATTAAGAAATCCAGTGAGACCCTGTCTCTAAATAAAATATGAAATAGGGCTGGGGATGTTGCTCAGTGATCAAGTGCCCCTGAGTTTAATCCCTGGTAACCACCCCCACCAAAAAAAAAAAAAAAAAATCAGTGTATGAGAACAAGTAGATTTCCAACAAGTTTAGGAATATGGATATGGGAGTCAGGAGAAAAGTTAGGAATATAGAGATTTCAAATTATTAACATATAAAAGATAACTGATTACTGTGAATAAGATTAGAGATGGAAAGCACATATAGAATAAGAAAATAAGAGAACCAAAGAGGAGAAAACTAATGGTTGGAGGAGGGGTAGCTAGTATTGTCTGAACAACAATAAGAAAAAAGTGTTCTGGAACCTAGGGGAATATGAATTCAAAAAGTAAGAGGTTAAATTGTGTGTGCCGACAAAAGTTGCATATAAATTTCTAATCATTTAAAAAACAGAGGTTGAGACAATTGTCAAATACTGTAGAAAAATAAGCTAAATTAGAATTGGGGATTTCACAATTCAGTAGCAAGTGAATTTAGACGGATTTCAGGTACTTGTGGGTGGAAGTTGGCCTGTATTAAATTGAGGAATGAGGCAAGATGAGAAGTAGCTTTAGAGCTGTAGAAACCCCAGTGTTGTATTACATATTTTTTTGTTTTTTGTCCATGATTCCTGGCTCATTAACTTCTTCCAAAAGTGGGTCATAAAAATCCTTATCTTCCCCTGCTGTTCTATCTTAGATCTGGTCACAAAGAAATTCTCCAACCCACCCTTCCCTGATAGTCATTCCAGAGGAGTCCTGTGCCATATCCTGGCGAGAAGCCAAGAAGAATTTGAATAGGCCCTTGCTGGCTTTCCCCACCTAGTTTACTAGCAGTAGCAATCACGCCTATGCAATGAAGTCTCCCACCACCACCACCACCACCAAAAAAGAAAAAAGAAAGAAAAACTAAAAAGATAGGGTTCTGAGCATATCCACACAGCTGAACACGTGGAAGCTTGCAGGAAGGCTGATGAGAGTTCATCCATATGCTGGGAAGGTGGTGCACCCCAACTCCATGGAGATGAGAGCTCCCAAACTCAGCCTGTGCATGGGACCCTTTCAGACCTTGCTCTGTATATCTCCATCTGGTTGCTTATTTGTATCCTTTAAAATATCCTTTATAGTAAACCATTAAATGTAAGCAGAGTGCTTTCCTGAGTTCTGTAAGCCACTCTAGCAAGCAAATCAAACAAGAGGTTTGGGAACCCCAATCTATATTCAATTAGTCACAATTTCCAGAAGCCCAGACTTGCAACTGGGTCGGAAGTGGGGGCAGTCTTGGGGACCAAACCCTCAACCTATGTGGTCTGACATTATGTCTAAGCAGATAGTGTTAGAAATGAATTATAGGACACCCAACTGGTGTCTGCTGCAGCATTCACTGCTTACTTGCTGGTAGGGAGAAATCCTTGTCACCTTTGAGGTTGCAAACGTCTTCTA